TAATGGGGTCCTGTCCCATTCAGATTTGACAATAAGTGGTTAGGGAATGACTGTTTTCAATTTATGATTGAAGAAAAATGGAAAAGTTATGATTTTAGGGGGTGTGTAAGTTTCAGAATTACTTTTAAGTTGAGAGAACTGAAAAATGACATCAAAGGATAGTGTAAGATTGCGAGCGAGAAGGAAGCGGTTAAGTTTGGTTCTATTATGAGTAAGATCAGTGAGCTTGACTCAAAAGAGGAGAGTGGTGAGTTTAATGATGTTAAGCGCGAGAGGAGGGCTGAACTAAAGTTACAAATGACCTCGGCTCTGAAAGATGAGGAAATATCGTGGAGACAGAAATCCAAGGAAAGGTGGATTGCGGATGGCGATTGTAATACAAAATATTTTCACGTTCCGACCACCCATAGAAGAGGTTGCAACTTCATTGATGAAATCTGGTGTGGGGATAGGATGATGTCGGGCAATGAGGAGTTAAGGGAGGTGGTCAGGCAACATTTATTGATGCTCTATAATGAGGAGACTTGCACTAGGCTTACCTTTGATGGTTTGGAGTTCAAAAGAATCTCTGAAGCTAGCTCCAGTATGTTGGAGGAGGAATTCTCTCTGGAAGAAATGGAGGGATGCTTAAAATCCTGTGATGGCAACAAGGCTTCCGGTCCTGATGGCTTCAATATGAAATTCTTTCAAATATTTTGGTACTTATTGAAAGATGATGTAATGGGTGTTTTCAAGAACTTCTATAGAACTGGAAAATTTGTTAAATCTCTAAACTCCACATTCATTCCATTCCTCCCAAAGAAAAAGAATCCCAATTTCAAAGATTTCAAACCTATAAGTTTAGTGGGGTGCATTTATAAGTTGATTGGTAAAGTGTTGGTCATGAGACTATTTAGGGTGCTTGGCGAGGTGATTGGGGAATGTCAGCACACATTCGTGGAAGGCAGACAAATTCCAGATGCCGTAATAGCTACTAATGAATCCGTGGATGACCTTATGGTTAGGGATAAGAACGACCTATTATGTAAATTGAATATGAAGAAAGCATATGACCATGTCAATTGGAACTTTATGGGTTACATGCTTAATAAGTTAGGGTTCGGGCAGAGATGGCAAGATTGGATGAAATATTGCATATCCATCTCTTTGTTTGCGGTGCTCATCAATAGTGGTCCATTCAAATTCTTTAGTGCATCCAAAGGTCTGAGACAGGGTGAT